AGTTTCTAATTCGTATGAAACTATATACTTAGTATTTTGAGTTCACAAACATATAATTTCAACCAGTGCTGCATTCAACATACCACGTGACACACAAAAGTCCATGTTTATCTGCGTTTTTTAATATTTACTTTTAAATTATGAAATTCAGTAATGTATAGTTCTAAAATTTGAATTATAATCTACAGTTTGATACCAAACTTATTGACATAAATTCATGAAATAGTAGTTCAATAAAATTTGAATGTGAGTCAACAAACTAGATGACATGGCCTTTCACCTATGACCCATCTCAAAAGGGTTAAGACCTGTTTTAACAAATCTTCAAGAACAAAATAGAAAATACTGTCTTCATGTTTCTGTACATGAGGTTCCCTATTTAAGGTTTACTTAATAAAAAATTACATTTTCATAATAAACGTTTGTTTTGTGATATAAATACTATAAAAGAAAAACTATATACCTATTTTCTCTAGTTGACGAGATACGTGTTTAGAGTTTTCCCACAACTTAGCTCGAAAACACTTGGATAATATTATTGCATTTAACAATCCACTGAAACCTTTCACTTCTATACTAAGAAACTCTGCAAGACCTGTAAACATATGATACACACATATTTTCTTCAGTATGGTAAAATGCCATAAAAATTTAATGTATTTGTCACAAAAACTAACAAGTGTTGAATAAGACAGTATACATGAAAAATGAAAAGTTTTCTAACAAAGTACAAAATGTAATGAACATAATGAAATTGGTTATCATTGAATACTAAATATGAAAAAAAAAAGCTAGCTGATAATCCTGTTTAATGAAAGATCGAGCCAATAATGTTAACTGTGGCCTCAAAGCATCATACAGAATAAATGCATATGAATAAGCTACACATACACTAATGTAATTGATTCATTAACTGTGAGTGGATTAAATACAATAAACACAACAAAGTTTTCTTGATTAAGTAATAGAGTTTATATGTTAGCTGTATTATATAGATTTATTTATTCCATTAATTTAAAGGATGAAGTTAATAATGTAACTAATTATTGATTTCTAATGTTGTGAAATGTTATGAAGATTTCTTGCTAACAAATATTTAGTATATGAAATTTCTAACATAAACTACACATTTTCTGTTTTGAAAATACTTTCTTGTATATCTATATCAAAGGATTATATATTGTTTTTGGTGTCTTTAGATCTATCTATATATATCAGACACTACACATAAACACTAAGTAGCAAGTTTTCTAAGAGATAAAAATTTCAACAAAACTAGCACTCCAATCAATTTTTCTTAATACACTATTACTTTTACTAATATATTGGTTAGCTTGGAAATAATATTATATTTCATTCAAATAAACTGAAATTTTGGTCATACAGCATGAATATTTGGCTCTTTGGGAAGAATATGAATAATTCCACTAATCTCACATTTAGTTATTCTTTGCCCTGCTCTCAGTATGCGAGCTAAATCTTGGTTCAGTGAAGCCTCTTGAACTGGCAGACAACCCAATGCTGCTTGAATAAGGCTAAATAAATTAACAACAATGTACTGTGTTATGTAATTGAGAAATTTATACAAAGATACACACTATACTGATTAGAAGCATTTTGAAAAAATAGAAGAATGAGTAGATATGTCTTAATGGCTAATTTTTATCATTACATTGGTACGTGGTAACATTATATATGATCGATATAAATTAAAAGAGACGTACTTTCAAACAAAAGAAATACATTTTTGATTAATAAACGTAAGTTATAATAAATAAAACTACCAACATTAAAAATGTACTTGATACTTGACTTTGCAGTAACAGATCATTTTGTACAAATGTACAATTTAGGCAAGGGACTCGTAACAATTAACTTCCACAAAATTATTTTGAATTTCAAATTTTTTAGATCTATTACATCAAAGATATGCAACAGATTTTATAATATGAATAAGTAAATAAAGACCTTTAATAAACATTACAAGCAAAAATTTTAGTCTTTACTAATTGATATTAAAGTATCTGCAACAAAAAATGTACAAGATAAATATCTGTTTTAGTCTACTTTAGCCTTTATTACTGATACTTATAACTGAACTAACAAATTAATATTCAGCCATGTCAATAAAACCAAGAGGTACTACAAGAAAGAAACTTTATGAACTGACTACTATTTATGAAATCCAATGTGGTAAAGCATACATTCTATAAAGTATATTTCATCAAGCACAGTTCCCCTTTTATTTCATAAGTTTTTTAATGTGTGTATTTGGAAAGAGCTTTGAGCATAGAAGAATTCTGGTATGCAATAATTTATTTACTTTTAAAAATTTGTTTTATTAAATCACATACCAGCACTCATTACAAAAAATTCATATACAAAAAATGAGTGAAATCACTCACTTTGAATGTTAAATACATAGGAAAGCTCAGCAGTATTTAGTGAAATTAACTACAATTATTCTTTGAATATAAATAATTCATAAAAATGTGTTTAAAATCTGATGGGGTCTGTATTGATCTCATTTTCAATTTTGGGTTATAGATACATCTTACACATAACAGAACATCTTTATTATAGAAAGAAGCACTTAACAAGTTTTTAAAGTTTTAACACTGTTTTAGCAAAATAAAAAATAATATTTCATATGTTATAAGTATGTTTACTTATTTAATTGAAGGGAACTGTCAAAGTAACTTATAAAATTACATCAGACTAGTATTATACTACACTAATTCATTTACAACTTTCTACACATAACACGTATTTGACTTTATATTCATTTTTTAAAAAAGGTTAATTTTTACCAATTTACTTTCAAGTTACGTGTTTTGATCCTTCCTGTCAATGGAAATCTATAGAGAAAAATACACTTGTATAAGCTCAAAGGGATTGCATTTTATACTACTATTTACAATTACTTACCTAAACAAATTAATCTAACATAAATAATTCATCATAATTACTTCATGAATATAACTGAACAAACACATAATGGTTCTATTAAAGTTAAGTAAAATTTAAGTAAATAACTTAGTTTTACTTATTACAAAACACTTGTTGCTCAACTATTAAAGAAGAGAAAACATAGCATAATGTAAAACATATTATTCTAGCTTTTTTCTTTTGAGCTGTTAATTGATTTTACAACATCATTCAGAACTAGCTAGGTTGCATTTAATCAGAACAGGATGCATAGCACCATAATCATAAAACAAAAACGAGTTCAAATACTGATAAAATGTTTTGTCATTTTAGAATACACACATGTAAGTACCTGCTTCCTTGGTAAAAATAAAAATATGTTAACCCTTACATATTAACTTAATAAATCCTATATAAACATGTTATATACCTTATAAAAATACTAAATCAAATGAGTTTCAATTTGGACACTGTAATGATTAAATAATGAAGCTGTTATTTTTCTATTAGAATCAATTTGCTTATGTAGTACTAATGTACCTTTCAAAAAACAAAGAAAAACATTAGCCTTGAAAAAATAAAAGTTTCTAAAGAAACTGATGAATCACATGAGTATGTTAGGGATATGGGTGATTTTCTATTTCACTGAATAAATAAATAAATCATGAGGTATTACTTATTTCACTTATAAATCAGATAATTCTAAAGAAATCAGGCAGTTTAACTTTACACAATATATTCATACATAATTATGGCATTACAAGCTAACAAGTCAAGAACAGAAGAATTAAATCAAATTATTCATAAATATAAAGAAACACTACACCAGTAGATCAGTAACTTAAACATATAATTCCATTACTGTTTGAGCTTTTCTTGTTGAAAAATGAATACAGCATGTTATGGTGAAGAGAAATAATTCACTAAGAAATTAAATCTCTAAATAAAAACATTGATATTATTCTAAACACTGTTTATAATCAGATGTAAAAATCTAATTATAAATATGTATATACAAACATGTTCAAAATGTTTCTTTAAATGTCTAATGCTACTGAATCTAGGTGACATTTAGATAATGCTTTTAAAGTAGTTAAAAATAACATTGTTTAGATAAAAGGCCAACAGACAACACTACAATAAAGAATTTCAAGTCATAGAGAAAAATAAACATATGAAACAATTTAAGGTAAAAATATAAATGTTATAAAACTGAAATGATTTTTTATGGACTAAAATTTATGACATGGATAGCAAATACAACAGATGCATAGCTATTTTTATACCTGATAGTAGGATGATGTTTGTCATGGTTAAGGGTATTTAACACTTTCTTTTCATTATTTCTCAACTGAACATCTTCAAACTCCTTACATCCACATATCACACTTACCTGTATTATTGCAAAAAAAAAGGATTATCATTGCTCAAAATTACCTCCAAATAATATGCATTTGTCAAACTTAGAACATCTAATTGATATGTATTGTAAAATTATAAACTGTAGCTCAATTTAACTTGTTTTGTTCTTACAAAATATCTAATGACCAAAAGATACCATTTATGTGAAAAAAAAGGAAGAAAATTCATTGCTGATTAAAATATATATATATAAAAATCTATTGTAGAAATACATACCATATTATCCTATAATGTACATTTCACATCTACAAAATTTGTGAATTTTTCTATGTACTAATTTGGAAGATATTAAACTGGTGCAGGGTCATGCATTGAATTAATTCAATCTAAGGTGTTATTTTCTGTAGCTGGATCCAATCGTAGAAACTACCAAGTGTTTTATAGAATAGTTATATTGTATTCTATTTTACCTTGTGTACAGAGGATTGTTTTACAAGTGTCACATAGAACCAAGAATTCTTATTTTCTGTCTTATTATCTGTACAGCGAGAATATGTACTAATACAGTATTGGTGGTTTTCAGGAAGATTCCTTTCTGTCTTAAAAGAGAACAGATTTGTTTCTTTCTTTAAGGATTCAAGACTTGCTGTTGATGTTTTGTCCATCTTTTGACCTTCTATCCACTACTTTTGCTGTTCATATGAGTTATATTTATATTCAAATACAGTTTATTTTGCTTTTCTAACTTAAAATATCACAATGTAATAATTCTTTCTGCATGTATGAATGGTTGTTCTTCTGTTTTCTTCAAAAAATAAAAATGGTTATTTTTGCTTCAACTTCACTTCACATTCTACCACTACAAATCACTAAAACTTGTCTTTCTGGATACTAGTTTCTTGAATCTCAAGTAATTGCACAGTTCAGGTAACGGTGTACTAGGGATAACAACATAGTGTTCCCCCTTCCTTTTTGAATATGGGGTCAATGTACCCCTAAGGCTAATTTCTTGGGGTACAAACAAAAAGTTGAGGGTACAGTATTCTAGCTACATCCAATTAGTTTTAATCATGTGGTTTTACATGGAGTAGATAAAACATTAACTAATGTTGTTTGTTGAAATGAACTGCAGTGTTAATCACTCATTATACAACACTAAACAGTTTACTGTTTAAAGTTTATAATTAAAATGATGTTGAAGCACAATTAATGCTGTTGGTTTTAATTTATACTCCCTCATATAAGTCTATAGCAATTTTCTAAGCTGTTTGAATTCACTGCACCATTTAGAGTATAACTTTTTTATCCTATAGCATTTACTGGATAAACTAGAAATGACATTTTTTGTGCATGCAAGGTACACACAGGTATGATAATTCACATTTAGATATGCCTAATAAAGAACAATACAACACCATAAAACTTGTTTGTAACTGTAAATGAGAGCAGCATATATCCATTTATATCTTTAGATTAGTGTAGACTGATTCACAAAAAATAGCTTAAAATTTGTTGACCATCACACTTTCATTACAGTGTACTCTCAATAAGCTCTTTTCCAAACAGATATTTTCATAACCATATATTGTTGAATAGATTAATCCATGCCAGACACTTGAGGTTTATAGCACCACAAAAATATATAAACTGATATATTAAAAAAAGAGGCATCTTTACAAAAATGAACACTAAAAATTTGTCATAAAGACAAAATACACAATGCGAAATTGAACTTTATAATAAAATTAAGGAATAAGTAATTGATCATGTACAATCACATGCTAAATTAATTTGTGAAATTTTTGTGTGATAAGTTTAAAAAAAACTTTTGTTCATAATATAAATATTTGATGATTAACTTCTGTAATTATAAAGTTCATGAAAGACTGGGGGAGAGCCATGTTCACTACTTGATATTGTTACGACAGAGGAAGTCGCGTGACGCTGGGAGCATGCTCACTGGAGTTTCTTGAAGGATCATGAAAGCCTGAGTGCATTTGAGATGCCCTCTTTTTTAGTATATAAGCCTGGCAAGAAAAACCAGCGGGATCGAAGAGATAGATGGATATAAAAATAGATAATTGAGTCAAGCGAACAGTAGTGACGGTAATATAAAGTGTGTGTTTTGTTATCGAGATTGCAAAAGCATTGACTGTGGAAATTCTGTGTATTACAAAGCTGTATCAAGAAAGAATAAACTAGTTTTAATTAAGAAAGGACTTGTATCCGTGAAGTTCCTCGGAAAGAATTTATACCGGAAATTAACAAATGAGCAAATACATAATAATATGATGTTTGCATGAAATAAACACTTATCAAACTTACAATGAGAACATTATGAAATTGTTTCTTAAAGAAGGTTATTTCTAGTAAGTAATAGACTATATATATATTGGTTTGTAAGAATTGAAATGTCAATAGTAAGAAATTAAAAATTGGACAACATGCAAGAAATTTAAAATCTATATAATACTTAATGAGTTACTAGTCACATATAATATTACTGTATAGTTCCAGAGGTTAGTAAAAGCATTAGATAACTTTAGCTCCAAATAATGTTATATAGCCAGAGGATAGGCCTAGTTCAAATATATATATAATTGTTTTGGTACAGATTAAATGTTTCTGAGATTATACCTCACCTTTTCACACATTTAAGTTATCTTCACAAATGTCTGCCAGAGAGATTTGCATGACACCAGCCTTGAGGCAACTTCCACCTAAGTTCATGTGATTTTATGTGAATTCTGCTACTACATGATGACATCATCAGGTGACAAAAGCCCTCCACCCATAGGAGGACAACATGCCATATGCAATAATTGTCCCTATGCACTTGCACTCATGGAACTTCATTCTTCTCCTTGGCATTGTGTTGATCAGACGTGTTTAATTTCTCACCTGACTCCAATTTATTGAGATATGCTTCATTAACAAAACTTTGAATTTTATTTTCTTTGGCTTTTATTTCAAAAGCTTTATTTATTTTTCACAAATTCTCAAATGATGGTTATTTATACATTGTTCACACTTAGTCATTATTTCTACTATAGCTTTTGGAGGCTTGTTACTTGTAAAGGTCATTGCAGCCATTATTCAACATGATGTGGATTACCACACGCTTAATGAGCCTCCTACTCCCATCCTGTCTGCTGCAGTTCTTTCTACTCAGTCAAGAATGATCTATTGGACTATGAACTTCAATCACCTGATTAACCTTGGGTAGTATCTTACCATTCATGATATGATCTTAACCTTCCAATCTTCTTTGGTTACATTCCTTTCCTTATCTTTTGCCTGTGATCTTTATTATTTCTCATTTAACTATTCCCTGATCCATGATTTTTAGAGTTTTATCTTATCTTTTTCTCCTTGTTTCTTATTAGGATATACATATATATATACTCTTTCCTTTGTAGGCTTTCTTCCTTTTCCTTTCTCAATTCCCTGTCATTGGTATCTGTTTGGCCAGCTTGGGGACTGGACCACTTACCTTCTATTTCCCGATTCCCCATTTTTGCATTATTTTTTTTTCTCTCTAACCTCCTGTATTCTCTCTCTCCTAACTCCATCTCTTCTCTGAGGCACCTTTTCATGCTTCAGATAGGCTTCTGTAGATGTTCATTCCTATCTCTGTTTGGCCTGTTCCACTTCTGTTCTATCCCTCCATCCCCTGCTATTAGGACTCATTGGGTCAGGTTATATCCACTTTACTGTATTCTTTTATTTTTCTTGTGTACTTGTTATTTGTCTTTCTCCTTTTCTTTGCCTGGATATTCTTCCATGGGGTTCCTTTTTTCCTGATGTCCTGGACTGATGTTATATGGGTTTTTGTCCTCGTTATCTCACCAGGTTTTTTTCCTCTGTCTGGACCTTGCTTTTTACTCTCATTCCTCATCTGTATCAGTTTACTCCTAACCTTCCCATTCCAGATTCCAGCTCTTTCTCTTTTTCTTGTCTTCCAACTAGCAAAAGTCTAGTTTGTCACTCTTCTTTTCAGTAACTTTCACACCCATGATTATATGGATGACCACCTCTTCTCCTGCTTTTAGTCTCATTTTCTACCAACAATCATTTTTCATTTATCCTCCTTGGTCTCTTTCCTTGTTCCTCTTCACCTTCTTCCAATCCCATCTATGGCCTATTTCACCTGGTCTAAAGTTGGCTAAGGCCTATGCATTGAACACCATCCTACAAGTCACTCTAGACATTGGTACTGTGAAGGCCTTTGTTTGCCATATTCATGGGCCCGAGGTTGTCATTCCCTTTCTTAGACTATTTACTTACTTTCACCCATTCCTATATGTTTTCCCCCACCTCCTTTCTTTTACAGTGACTACTCAGTTAGAGACTTACATTCTTGCTCACACCCACTTGAAGTTTGGTACTTATGGGTATTTTATTTCTCTCTTGTCTCAACTGAGTTCTGCTTTCTTTTCTTTGCCTGCAAGCTATCGCATTTCTGATCACCAGGTTTTGCACCTCTCATTCTCTTCCTGCATGAGAGATTCTTTCACTTTTGGGGATTCTGACTTCCTTGGAACCCTCATTCCTTTGGGGCACTTACTAATGTTTCTTCTACAGTAGACCTTGCAGACAAAAAGTTTTCTTTCTTGGAGTCCATTGTCCTCTTTTGTGAGCTTCTCTTCAAAAAGCTTTCATGGTAAGTGAGCCATGCCCAAATTACTTCCTGTGTTCCTTTACTGCCTCTCAAACCAGAGCTCTTCCTTCTTCGATACTTCACTCTTTGACTGAGGCACATTTCTAAGTGTGGGCAGGTCTTCTGATGTTTGAACACTGAACAAACGTTCACTCCACATCAATGTATTTGACCTTCTCACTATTTATTGGGCATGTTCCCATTGCTGCCCCTACTAGTAAATCACTTGGACATGTTCCACTCAGTCTTTTCCATAGTCGTTTCTTGTACCAACAATCCACAATGTGCTCATTCTAGGACCTTTTGTTTTGGGGGCATTAGACATACACTTCTACAGTTATTTACATCAGGTTGATCTTGTCTGTCTTTTGCCAGGAACTTTATCTTGGGGATAGACTATCTATCTTGACCAGTCCTCTTTCTATTCATGGAGTGGTCTCTATACCCCCCCCCCCGGTCTTTTATGGGGTTTACTCTCAAGTGGAAATGCCCTCTTAGACAAAGTTGCCATTCTTCTCAACTCTGGGCTTCCTCTCTTAAGGTCCCCTATTCCACATTCTTTGGCTCTGGCTGTCAATTTTCTCACCTCTTTCTATATGCCTATTCTCCAATTAATATCCTCTCTCTAGTCTTTGGCTTTCCACACTTCTCTCCTTCTTGGGCCTTATTGCTGATACCTCTTTGACCAGCTCAGCCTTGGTCTGCTCAACATTTGTGTCCCTTTTCTCACTTGCTTCACCCTCATTGAGGGATATCTTTCTTCCATCCTCACACATAGAATTTTCCCAATCTGTTTTCCATCAGGCCAGACTTTTCAATTATGTGGCATTCCTCTTGTCATCCTTACACTGCCATTGTCTATCAACAACTGTGGCAGGTCTTTTGTCACTGGTATTTTCACTACTCCTTTACTTCTGTTCATCATACTGTGAACCACCTTTCTTTTTTACCTGATTGTTCATTAATGGCTTGTCAGTCTCTGCCTTTAGTAGTTGTCAGGAGGCTTTGTCCATGGCATTTATCCTCTACCTGGATCACAAGGGAGGTTTTCTGTACTTCTTTCCTATCTCTCTTTTTTCTGCCTTTCACTTATTGGACAGTTTAGTCCTAGATCAGCTCCTGTGTTATCATGGACCTTTCCCTTTTGAGGTCCCAATTTTTGGATATTACAACCTTGATACTCATCTTTTTCCAAGGACCTCTCTCCTCCTACCTTTCTTGGATTGGTCTGTCAACTCCTACAATTGGTATGTTCAACTCAGGATGTGAATGCTCATAGACTATTTCACACTTCTTTACATTCAATTCATCACCTTTTCCAATCTCTTACACCTTTTCTTCACCAATCTAGAATGAGCTCCTCTGGGTGGGCATTCTCCATACATTCGACTCTTCCTATACATCTTCTGGCTTTTTTATCTTCTGACAGTTTGTGGCTTCCTTGTGTCACCATTTCTTCAATCTCCCCACTGTCTTTGAGAAGAATATTTACTGTCTCTCTTTAAGGGCCCCTTTTTCATTTCAAAGGATTCCACCAGGAGGCTGGTATTGCCTCTTAGGGTATACATACTCCAAATCTGCATCAAGCCAGGATAATGAAAAGTGCTAATACCATCTGCCCAGGCTCTACGGCCCACTGTGAGATGGGGTGTTCCACAAGGCCACTTCACTTGAGGTATTCTTGTGGTGTGTGTGTGTGTATATATATATGTCAAGGTCTGTATAGACACAATTTGAAAAACATCCAGGACTGAATCAATAAATTTCTAGGAACAACCAAGGGAATAATTATAAACAAAAAACAACTTTACTTGCAGAATCTATTAAGTGCATTAATTCTTACACAGTATAACATGTAAATAGGGGCATTATATGCAAATCAAATGTTTTTATTTGAATGATTCTGTTCAATAAACAGATCTAGTAGTACTATTAGTTACAGTAGATCTACCGCTAGTGGTACTACCATGTCCAAGCGTAACAGGCAATTTCCCCATTGCTTCTAGTCGATTCATTTTTTCTCATAAAACTGTCAGTTCCCATCGTTTGTTGGTATTGTTTAAATAACGCAATCTGCACAGATCCTTTCATATGGCTTTTAAGTGCATTTTCGCCCATATTCAAAATGTCAAAGGTTTTATTATGCGCGTTGCAACCAGCACTGTGTTTGGCTGCACCATCACATACTAGCCAATCTGCATATTCTGGTTTATCAAGCCATGAAGCATTAAATGTGCATTTCCTGCCAGGCATAGCTTTACATGTTTGGTCAAGTATTAAGCATGATAAATCAATGTTTTGTTAAGTTTCAACAAATCCACAAACCTAGTGCTTAAAAGTCCTGAAAATGTACAAAGGCTCCTGAAAACCCCTGGAATTAAATTACTATTAAAATTTTTTTTTCTGTTCATAAGCCCAAGAAATCAATATTTTTAAAAATTTTATATGGTTACTTACATATGGGTGTACTGACTGTCATAACTTAGCCCTCATAGTAATGCCATACGCTCTGAGAAATGTTACTGAATCGAACACTCTCTGTGTTATTCTCATTAACGATTCATGTGTGTGCAATGCAATTTTAACAAATGGTTGTTAGTTTTCCAGGAATTACAGGAGGTGTACGGACCCTGATATATATATATATGTATTATGTTTGAACTTTATCACCAATAAGTCACTGACACTTACTGTAAAGAATCCAGCCCATACATACTAAAAACCTGACAATAAGATGTAGTCTCCTATGGGTGTGCCCCTATGCAGCCTCCACCATCAGCCATCACACCCCATGGGTTTCCTTCAAGAGCTTTCTGAAAGATACTCATTTAAGTAAAATTTTGCACTGGCATCTCCACTGATTGAAGATGGGATTCTAGCTAAACTGTGTGCATAGGTGAGGTATCATCTCAGAAGTTAACATTTTCCTTACTTGAAAATATATTTCCAATAGACAATCACCTCTATACACATTTTCACTTATCCTCTCCATTACTGGTGAACCTTTTTTTCCTTGCTTCACCAAAGAATGATGTTTCATGAATGAAAATGCATAGGGGGAGTTATTGCACATGCAGCTGTGTTGCTCTCCTATTGGTGGAGGGCTTTTGTCCCATGATGATGTCATTATGTAGTAGTGCAATTCATGTAAAATCATGTGAAATTAGGTGAGAGTTGCCTCAAGGAAAGTGGCATGCAAATCTCTCTGACAAACAAACAAAGAAAACAGCTAAACTTTTATCATCAGAATGGTACTTAAAACAAATAAAAGCATAAGATAAAAATATTCAGTGAATTCAATAATTCAAGTATATTATTTTGATAAAACACCCTTTCTTGTGAATTCTCAGAATAGAGTCAAATACTTACCAAATCACACAAAGTCTCAGTTCCATTCAGTGTTGTAAACTGTTTTATTGTGTCAAAGGCAATAAAATATCGAGCCATTAGTCTTCCTTGCTCTGCTCAAAGTACAAGTATTAACTCATTAGAAATTTGTACTTTTAACAGTAGAAATAATACTGAATATTTATTCTGGACAAATATGAGTTCTTGATACATTCCTATCTAGTATCTAATGTTTCACAGAGACTTTATAAAAAGATAACTTATATGAAAAGTCAGAAATACATGTTTTGGTGGATAAATGACCTCTAATATATATATATAAAACTAAATACTCAAACTTAAGACATTCAATTTCTAGAGAAAGAATTATTAATTAAATAAAGTCATAATAAAAACTTGTGGAAAAAATTACATTGATTCAGCATAAACGTATTTTTGTGGATTTTATAAAAAATGTTGATCTTACCAGTTGGTTTCAAATCAAAACCATCATCATCCATTTTCACCAATTTGTACTTTGTCAAAGCATTCAGTTCCTTGAGACACATATCTGAAACAAGAAAAGTGAAAAAATAATATTTCATAAATAAAAATAAAAGCAAAAAAATACAGAAAGGTCAAGTAAATCATTATAAAATCTTATTCACACAGGAACACTGTTACAATTATTATAGTCAGAAAGGTTGTGTCTTCACTCTGACCTTCACTCTGTTGGCAAATTGCAGGCAATATGATCTATGTAAGTTACTGTCAAAGCTAATCATACAACTGGTTTTAATCCTAATTATTTCTTAGTCTATCTGTATGTTCATATAGCTTATTTTGCTGTATTGTTTGGACTCAGGTTTAAAAAATCCAAAACCAGCACAAAAACTGAAACTTATTTTGATACAACTTTCAAACTGTTTACCTACTTTGATGAGAACTGATTGTTATTTTCAGTGTAAACTTAGGCATGGCAATATAAAAATAAAACGAAATCAAGTAATAAGGTAAAAGGTCATATAATGATAAAAGGAGGATGCACTTTTTATCAACTCAAACTATCACAGCAAAAATAATAACTAGAAGTATTTGAATAAGGGCAGTAACAGACAAAGTACAAAAAATGATCTTTACAAAATGTTTTAGCAAAGTAATCAATGGATGAGTTTCAAAGAATATTTCATCCTGGTAAAAATCCACATTGGATGCATTCATTGCACCTAAAACACCTTTCCATTTTGCAATTGGAAGTAATAGGAGGCACAGAATCGTTTTCTGATCTTTCCATGGGTTCTACATTAATGTTATATACCTTAAAACAGGAAATAGCACAGAAAAATCAGTCAATTTGTGGCCAGAAAACCAAAAATATTGACCAAAAGAAGGACAAAGAATACCAAATACCTTCCCAATGAAAAACATTAATACCATTTTGTTTTGACAGTAATAACACATAAGTTAAATTATGCTGTTCTTTATCTACTTATATATATATATGTATACCGTATTTTTCAGTGCATAAGATGCACTTTTTTACCCCAAAATTTGATGTTAAAAATACT